ATTGAACTTTTATATGTAGCCTTTTCAAAGACATCCATTATCTTCTGTTGCCAGGTCGCAGTGGCAGCAGTCTAAGTAGAGATCCCCAGACTCCTGAGAGAATCCAAAGATGTTCCCAGGCCAACTGAGAGACATAGTCCCTCTAATTTGTCATGTGTCTTCTCCTGGGTCTCCTCCAAATGGGAAATGCCCGGAACACCTCCCTTGAGACGTGTCCAGGAGGCATCCGGAACAGATGGCCGAGCCACCTCAGCTGGATCCTCTTGACATGAAGAGGCAGCGGCTCTACTTTGAGCTCCTCCCGTGTGACTGAGCTTTTCACCCTATCTCTAACAGAGCTGAAGATCTCTTCCCTTTGGTCACTACCAAAGCTCACTAGAGGTGAGGATGGAAATAGACCAGGAAAGAGAGAGCTTTGCCTTTCAACTCAGCTTGCTCTTCACCACAATAGTTCTATACAGCTCTGACGCCGCTCCCTCTTCATCACAACGGCCCGATACAGCGACTACAACACTGCACACACTGCACCAATCTGTCAGTCACTTCTGCCCAAGACCCCAGATACTTGAACTCCTCAACTTGAGGAAGGACCAGTCCAAGAGGGAAAGCCAGCTTTTTCCAGTCGAGCACCATGGCCTCCTGATTTGGAGGTACTGATTTTCATCCCAGTCACTTCACATTATGCTGCATAACATTTGCATAAAATTACATTGAAAAAAAATCACAGTGGCTATTGGGACTGAGGTAAATACTGATTATCATAATGAGTCGGCAAATTATTCTTTTGCTTAATCACTTAGTTGTTTAAAATCAGTGAACATGAGATTTTTCCTTGCACATTTGCCCAAAACAAAAATACAGACATAGTAATAAAACGTTTTTCTTGTCTACGTTTATCCGGCAAAAAAATGATAAGATAAGATAAGATAAGATGTGCTTTATTTATCTCACAGAGGAGAAATTTACATGTCACATTTGGCATGGATAGAACACTCAGATTGTGCAAAAGGAGGAAATGTGCAAACATGTTACATGCAGGATATATGTACAATAAAAGTGACAATAATTATGTACAAATAACAAACCGACTATTTCAATTATTGATTAGTCGCAATTATTAAATGGACACACTTTAGATCTGTTCTCATCCTGGGGATAGGTGCACCTTTTTAATGTCCCAAACACAGAAGCTGCCTCTGCCTCTCACTTCCTCACACACGTTGCCTGTTCAATCTCAGTTTTCATCTTTTCGATCCTTTGATACGTTTTTACCACAACACCTCAGACAGTTTCTTTGCAGCTTTGTAGATTGTGATGAAATCAAGAGAAAACAGAGTCGAGATAAAAGCATATAAAACTTTCATACAGACATGTTTTCTTTGTTGTCACACAGAGTTAGAGAATAACTTTCCAACTTTGACTGTTATTCATCCACTGCATAGATGACGATGGTGAGATATTGTAGCCACAGCTGCCTCCAGACAGACGGAGAGAAGTAGCCGGCTGCACGTGGGTGATTGGGTGAAGTGTTTACAGTTGCCAATGCCTCACTGTATAATGCATTGGTTTTATATAGCGCATTTCAGAACAGTTAATGACGCTTCACATGTCATTATTCATTCAAATCTGCCCTGGGGCACACTGACAGAAGCGAGGCAACCATTTGTGCCATCGCCCCCTCCAACCACCACCAACAATTCACACACAAAAAACAGAGGTGAGTCTCTGTCCCATTCTGAATGGGTGAAAGAGATGATCGAGAGACCAACATTAAACATTTTGGAATTCGTGTGTGTGTATATTTACGTTGGGAAGGGTGGACCCATGGGAGTGAGGGGAGGCGAGAAAAATCTTAAGAAGATTGCATTCATGTGACATCACAACCTTTCAAAGAGCCTGGATAACATTGTGGTGTAGGGCAGCTGAAAAATTTCTCTATCAAAAAATTGATTTCCAGTCTTAGTTTAGAGCTTTATCTCCCAGTAATTCCTGGACCGGTTCAAACAAAAACTGCCAGAAAGATCCACACCAGTCAGTACATAAATAATATTAGGTGTCTAGAAGTGGTGACAATGCAGTCAAAACTCCCAGAATTATAATATTGTTCAAAGGTTCATTTATTTCTGTCAATCAACTTCAAAATGCGTATCTAAAAGTTGTTTATTTGGCAGAAATAAAAGGCATGTCTCATTCCTCTTGCCTGTTTTTTCTCGTACAAATTGTCTTGAATAAATTGTGATTTAACTTCCTACTGTTACATTGGGAACAAAGAATAAGCCTGAGCACCCTGAATAATGAGAGGGAGTGTGAATATTACGGTAGTGTGGGATTGCTGACTCAGAGAACGTGTGAAATGTTTATTTGTTCTTATTTTTGTGCAATTGTCATGCCGTTTTTAGAAGCCAACAAAACACCATTTCTCTCCATGTTTTTCTGTGGACTCTGCCTACTCCTGCAATGGGGACAACTGCTTAAAAATGCATCTGTCGTGTCTCAGCTCATTTTGTGTCTGAAATTATTCAGAACGAGCACACTGTTATCCACAGGGAGTTGCCCCGTGCCATCTGCTCAAAATCACGATCAATTATGGTGGCATGACACGAAAAACAAACTTCGACAGAATACGGTTTCCAACAATAGACTGTCTTTCAAGGAAATGCTTCCTTTGGCCCATTCACGTACAAGGCAGGGGAGTGTCTTGCTCAAGGACACACAGCTAAGATAAGAAATGCTAAGATGAACTTTAAGAAGGAATTTACATGTGACATTTGGCCTAAATAGAATCACTAAGGTTGTGCAAACATGTTAAAAAGGTTAAAAATGACTATAGCAATGCAAATTTTTCAGAACTGGGGCAGGTCATCAAAGTGACTTATTGTACAGTCTGACAGAAGTGGGGATAAAGGCCCAGCTCAACCACAACCAACGATGTCTATGTCAGGAATAGGATTCAAACTGCCAACCTTTAAATCAGAGGATACGCGCTGTACTGACAGAGCTACTGCCGCTGAAGAAACATTTTTAGAGATTGCCATAGATCAGACATGTCAAACTGAAGCCCCTGGGCCAAATAAGGCCGGCGAGACCTTTTTTAGTGGCCCTTGGAATGACTTTCAACTATCATTATTAAAGTAACTGGCAGCATTAATAATACTGGGATACTATGGCATGTTTTGTCACATAGTTGAATCTGTGCTAACGTAAACATAATCATAATTTAAGTAGGTCAAATATTTCATCAATCATCAAATGCATCTTTTCTTGGTCCAGTTGTGATTGAATCCAAAGCTACCAGAAAATAATATCCAGACTCATGTCAAATAACATCAATTTGTCAAAGTTAAAAAAAAAAAGATTATATATAGATTATAATGTGTACAACTCTTCTTCTTCTGCCCCCAACTAGCTCTAATGGTCAGGGGCCATAGATTCTGCCGTAGATTCTCCATTACTTTGACTGGGCCTAACACCTGCAAATGTTTTGTTTTCAATTGTATGAAATTGCACCTATTTCCTCAAGTGAGTCAAGTTTTAACTTGAAGAATTGAGGAAATAGATCGGATCTCTCTCTCTCTCTCTTTCTGGCCTCTCTCCTTCCCCCTCTGGCCTCTCTTTCTCGTCCCTCTCTGGCCTCTCTCTCTCTCTCTCTCTTTGGCCTCTAACCCTCTCGCTCTCTGGCCTCACTCTCTCTCTATCCTCCCTCTGGCCTCTCTCTCTCTTTCTGGCCTCTCTCTTTCTGGCCTCTCACTCTCTGGCCTCTCACTCTCTGGCCTCCCTCTCTGGCCTCTCTTTCTCTCTCTCCCTTTTCTCTCTCTCTCTCTCTCTCTCTGTCTGGTTTGTTCATCAACACAAGTGCAGAAAGTATAATGTTCCATTGAAAGCACCATGCTGTTGGACTGATTTTCTTCAGCAGGGACAGAGAGGAATGTGATGGGAAAGTGGATGAATTAGCAATCTTGGGAAAAAAGTGGTTGATGTCTGCAACAGATTAGAGGTTGGATCAGTCAATCCATCATTATGCGCAGAGCACTTCACAGTTCTTAAAAATATTCACCCAACAACCCAAGCAACAGACCCATCCCTAAACAACGGACCCATCCCAAGCAACAGACCCATCTCAAACAACCGCTGGGATACTAGTGGTACGCAGGGCTCCCTTTAGTGGTATGTCAAAGAATCACTGAAATATATTTAAAGGTTCATTTGATCGCAGACCATATGAACCAACATCTCTTTATGTGAGTAAACGACAAATGTAAGAGGGCAGCAGACCAAGCATAGCCTTATAAACAACAGTGCACCAGTTTCCAAATCTTCTGGTGGACAAAGAAGGCCATCCCAGTCCAGAATATAATTCACAGTGGTGAGTCAAGGCTTTGGAGTCCGCCACCCACATGTGCAGTGACCAATCAGAGAGCCGCAAAGTGGTCACGAGGACACTAACTGTCTAGCGAGCAGACTGAAAATACTCATAAATAGCCAAAACAGCAGCTAAACCCGGACTAAACCAGGATAGACAATGGGGGACACAGTGCTTGTGAACATATGCCTCCAGCCTGAGTTCTCATTCTCCCGTGACTATAAACAAGTGCTGCTAACGTGTTCACTAATGCGGAAGTACTGTTTAATAATAAAATAGACTTATGGCGCACATCTGTGAGCACATACTGCTGTTATATAAAGTCTCTGGAAGGTCTCTGGACAGTGAGACTATGCAGAGCTGCATTCTTGGAGAAGAACTTCCAGCTTCACTCCGTTAGCATAGACGGCCGCCCGCCACAGAACCCCAAAACTTCCAGGACTTTAGCAGGCCTTCAGAAACTGTCAGTCCAATAGAGAGAGCCGTCCCACCAGGAACACAGGACGTCAGCTCCAATGCTGCTCACTTCATGGTCTTGACGATGATCCAAAAGCTCTTGGACAAATCCCCTGTGTCTCTGGACATTAGGGAACAAGGAAAAGTTATTTTGCAACTGTGTGACGTGGAGCGAAGAGTCTTTATGCCCCAGAGAACAGTTCTGAAGGCCAAAGATCTCAAAGCCATAGCTAAAGAGACGGCCACAAGTCTCCGAGCAGAGCTGGGACCCATCTCCTCACCCCTTCTCCAGAGTGACTATTTTTCAATGCAGCGGTGAGACATCTGAATTTTCAGCTAGATGACTTCAGTCACGAGGACAGAGGCCGACAACCAGGATGCTTCTTCTCCCGAGTGCTTAAGATATTCAGGATCAGGAGGAGCGTCACCTGGTCCTCTGAGGGCATACCTCAGATCAGCACTGCTGCCTGAGTACATCACTGCTGCCTGAGGTAACCTTCACCTAGGAGGTCACAGCAGAAGGGCTGGAAACAAAAAAAACATATAAGACAAAAACAACAAGCATGAAAAACCAATTTTTTTAAATAAAATTAAGGTTGAATCATGGTTGAATTCAATAAATTCAACAATAAAAAGGGGGGGGGGGGGAATATAAAGGTAGGGAAAACAAAAATCTAAATTAAGACAAAAAACAAAGCATGAAAAAACAAGATTAAATTCGTCAACTGGCACGAGCCCTATTCTTTCAAACGAGTGACATCAACAATTCACAGCGACTAAACTAGACTGGTCCAAAAAAAAGTCACTCCCCTCAGTATTGACATACATGTGGAACGGAGCTTTGGGCTAAGAGTTTTTTGAACTTTCTGTAAAGACGTTTTCGATAGGTAAGAAGATGCTATATGTTAGCATTGTCTAATTCTTATTCCGGGTCCACCACCATCGGCCCCGGGCTGGTATTGCAAGAATGTCAGCGCACGTCATTTTGGCCACTTTTGAGCCGGGACCCGACCCCACTGATTTCGACAGACATTCAACAGACAAAAAAAATAATCAAAGATATTTCAAAAATAAAATTCTAAAAAAAGAGGTGTCCCCAATGAGACAAGTGGAGGACTATGATCCTACTCTGATTTGGAGTCAATAGATCACATGACCTCGAAGCTATCGAGCTGAAAGTCATTTTTTGTGACAGTAGCTCAGTTGGTATTTGGGAGTTTGAGCCTGATTAAAGGCCAATGTGATTTTAGATAGTCCTCCACCAGTGATCATAGTCCTCCACCAGCTGAATGGGGTACACCTCTTATTTTTATTTATTTTTTAATCTGTGCGTATTTTATATGAATATGTGTAATTATTAGCAGCCTTCCTCCATCTCCTTGTGATTACCATTTATTATACGGCTCCTCACAGCAGCAGTAGAACGCTCCATTGATTTGAATGTAATTTCAAAACGTTCTACCGGTCATTATTTTTTATAACGGACCTCAAACAATAATGACCGCTGCCCTTTGGCAACGCACTCTCTGCTTGTATTTCAAATGCGTGGATAACTAGTGCAAGTAGTTCCGGCCACTCTGGGGCTAGCCACGCTCAATCAACACACTTAAATGTTAATCGGAGAATACTTTATACATATACATTCTTCACACATGTGCACAGAGATTTTCAGAATTTTCTGATCTTGTCTTCATGACAAAAATACTATGTCTCTGGGTTAAAAAGCGATCGTGAAAAATCCAGAAGTAGTTCCGGCCGCTCAATAAACGCAAATGCCAATCAATCGACGCAATTAAATGTTAATCGAAGAGTACATTATACATATACATTATTAATACAAGTGCACGGAAGTTTTCAGAATTTTCTGTTTCCGTTTTCATGACAAAAACACTGATGTAATGCGAGAAAAGCATGGAGAAAAGGCAATCCCGAAATTCCCGGAAGTAGATAACGGCACATTTTATGAACATTTTCAGAGGATCGAATTATGGATAGGTTAGGTTTATGTTTGGGTCACTCACCGCTGATGTTCAGAATTCTTTGTTCAGTTTTCATGCAGTTCCAGAGAGTTCTAGTTTGGAAGTTGCCAGCCTAAGTGTTGCTAGCATAGCCACGGGAAAGCCTTTGGGAACTATTTTATTTTCTGTCATTAAATAAACCTTTCGGCATTCCTAAAAGTGGAATGAAGTTTATTTTGTGTGTTCTGTTGGTACAAAGCCGTATAATAAGCGGGATAACGTATATTACGCAGGTCATTATCGGAAAATAAGTACCTTCAGGGCGGAAGCAGACCCGCTTCGCCCTGTTGGTACTTATTTTTTATCCCTAGTCTATCCCTAGTTTTTATCCCTAGTCTATAGTGGGGGTGCACTTAAATGTTGGAGTGGCTTGGTTAGAATCAAATACACAACAGATATCACCAACTCCAAAACAACACTGGCATGCCCGAGATATTAACTTGAATATTATGTCTCATGTTTGTTCCAAGTCTAAACATAAAGCTCTAAACTCTAAACACAGTGAAAGTTTTTCGGCGCGGGGTCCCGGCCGGGCTAGGCGGGGCTTGTGTGTGTTCGGCGGGGGGGACATCGTGCGCCCTTCCCTTCCCCCTCGGACTGCAGCCCCTGTGCGCGCAGTCCTGTTGTTGCCTCCGAGCGCCATGGTTTCACGAGGAGACGAGCGCATGGCTGATATCCCACAGATTCGCAGAGGAGTGCGTTTTACTGAATCAGAGAACAGAAGACTTGTGGAAGAAGTGAGGACGCGCAAGATCGTCATTTACGGTAAAGGCGAAAGAGCCCCGCAGCCGATAGAGGTTTGTACCACTACAAGCATTCTCTCTCATTGCACCAGGCCACTTCACTATAGCAGTACTGGATAGTGGATAATGGCGACAATAGCGCGTGGGGATGGTGTTCAAATGTGCTAAAAGGGACCATCACGTGATTGTGGCCGACGCAAACAAAGTTGAAAAGTTTCTGAAAAGTTTCCGAGCCCGATTCCCTGCGGTGAAAGCACAGGCCGAGGAGGATGTACATGTGTTCTTTATGTGGCTGCGTCTCCTCTTCACCTACATGTTTTGTTTGAACCATTCCCCTAAACTTTGTCTTTACAAAAAGCGTCCATTTCTGCAGCCTCCCGGTGATTTGGGATCGGGATCTCCATTGTTTCCAGGGGAGGGAACTGGGCGACAAAGGTGCAGTTTTAAGGAACCATAAAAAGAGAATCTCAAAAGACGATCCAAAATAAATCATTCATCGTCCACAAAAAAATCACAATGGTTAGCGCTTGTGCTTCACAGGAAGAAGGCCCCTGGGTTCGCTTCCACCTCTAGATCTTTCTGTGTGGAGTTTGCATGTTCTCCCTCTGTCCTCTTAGGTTTATTCTGGTTGCTCCTGTTTCCGCTACCACTAAAAACATGAACATTAACCCCCTCTAACACCTTCCTGACACCACTCTCCCTGGAGCCAGGACTCCTCTGAAAAGGAGATTCTGAAATCTCAGTGAGATTTAATAAATACATAAAATAAACAAGTCTACTTTATGGGATCCATGGAATGTGTTTGTATTGGTTCAGGACATTATGTAATTTTCATATCTTGTTTTTACTTTTAAGATCCAGAAAAAGCAAATCCAGATAATCATTTGCTAAAGCAGTGTCTTCCTTGTGCAGGTGAGGCTGGCGTGGGAGGAGGTCGCCGAGGTCATCTCTACGGTGTCTGGGATTGAACGGAGCTCTGATCAGTGTAGAAAGAGATTTAATGACATGAAGAGACGAGGAATTGTGGTCACACAGCCGTGCGTAGAAACAACTTTACATGTGAATCTGCAGGAGGACGAGCCTCCCCCCACCAAGAAGAAGAGAGGACGTCCGCCCAAGAAGAGGCTCGGAGAGTCAGACGTGGAATCCAGGAACCATCTGGAGCCGGTGGATCTGGAATTTGAAGTTGACGGTAAAGATAATACAATTTCACTTGAGCTAAGAATCATTAATGTTCGGACAATACGTTTTGTATACTTTTAGGATTAAACGTAAAAAATATCATCCATCTCTGTATGTGCATATACAAGACTAATCTCTTCTCTCTGCAGCTCCCATGGATGACGACCCAGACTATGAGCCTTCTCCTGTGAAACCTGAAATGATGCCCTCTCCCAAAGTGCTCAAAAAACCAGCCACCTCGTCCCTCAGCTCAGCCAGCGCACGGCCCAAAGAAGCCAGCTTCATGGGGTTCAAGCAGGAGGACAAGCAGGGTGAAAAGCACCCCTTCCTGGAGCTTCAGAAGGGGGGCTTTGAGATGCTGCAGAGGGAGCTGCATGGCTTCCAGACGTGCATCAAGACCCTGGAGAGACGAATGAGCCAGGTGGAGGTGCTGCTGCAGCCCATAGGAGACATAGCCGACAGCCTGTCCCGCATCGCAGAGTCAGTGGAGCGCCTCACGTGCCCCCCCTCTCCTTAACCCCCACACTTACACCATCCAGCTGTGTACAGAGAAACAGAGCTTGCATATGTGCCTACTTTAAGTCCAAAGACAATACACCCTTAACTTGTACAGCGAGATTGACGTGGCTGAGCTCACAAAGCTCTTTCTGCTCTCACTTTTGCCAAAGGTGTCAACCACAGAGACTGGACCAATCACAAGGCAGCGCTGTGGTTTGAGCAGGAGCCAAAAGAGACAAAGCGACAAACCTGGTTGGACTGATGAACGTACTGTGGCCTATTATATCTGTACTGTGTTTACATTTTGGTTTTTGTAAAAGCCATCTGTGATCGATACCACATAGACGTGCACTGGTTTACACATCAGCCCAGGACAAACACTCTATGCGGTCCTCTGCCCTGAAAACCCAGCTGCTGTCTCTTTGTGTGTAAATGCCACTCCTCCTGAAACTCCATTCACATGCATGTGTCCCCTGCAGAGGAACCAAGAGGGTCAGGAGTCACAGGCTCAACAGAGTATCTTCTATGACATATACAAACTGATATAAACCAATAACGTGATGTGAATTGGTTCAAAATCACAACTTGTTGCTAATCTAAACATGACGGATGAGAATTTCTCAAATGAATTGGAAATTTCTTGAATTTAAACAATTTTAAAAAACAATTTTTTGTAAATATTGTCCCCAGCTGGAAAACTTCAGTGGCCTTTTTATGTGTGTGAGCGGGTTAGTTTTATTATGAAAACGCAATAGAAAAACGGCTTTCAGCCAGTCGCCTCACTGAGCTCAAATCCTACTGTACATACTAAGTTTTTAAAATTTTCTTCTATTATTTTGTATTCTACCTCATTACCCGTGTTGTCGGAGTGCGACTTCTATGTGACACAACACAATAGAACGGTTTTATTTTCCTATGGTTAAAACACTGAAGTGAACGCTGATGTTTTGCAATGTTTTTTTCTATATATATATTTTTAACACCACTGGTTCACTTTAAATCTGTGTCTCTGGTGAATGTATAGAAAACAAGTCCTTTCAAAAGTATGCTGACTGAAAATGGACGGCACACAATGGGAGCTGATATTTTAAATAAATGTTTACATACATTTCTTTGCTTCTTTATTTTGGATTTTGTATTACTGAACCAAGCCGACAAACTATACTTGGGAAAAACATGATTATCATTTTGAAAATAAGAGTTAAAGGAATAGTTCACCGTTTTTACATACTGACATATGTTCTTACCTTACCTTAGACCAGTTAATACGTACCTGTCTGGTCTTAGTCCGTGTGCTCTGTCATGCAAACGGAGCAAAAACGGGAGCACAAATGCAGCCTCCTCTGTATATTTTGTAGCACCAAAAGGTAGCTCCCGCTAGAAGCTACCAAACTCTTCCAAGTGTTCCCTATTAAATGTATATAGTTACGTGACGTGTTACACTGCAAAGTATAGTAACACAGAAATGTAACAGTCGATTTTCTCAGCGGATAAAACGGGTACTATATTGTGAGGCGTAGTAATCTGAGGAGCGCTACGTCCGCGCACTAACTTCTCTCCGTACTACAAGTCACGCTGCTTCTATTGACGGAAGTGAGCGAGAGAGAAGTCTCCGGAGTGAAGTTAGTGCGCGGACGTAGCGCTCCTCAGATTACTACGCCTCACAATATAGTACCCGTTTTATCCGCTGAGAAAATTGACTGTTACATTTCTGTGTTACTATACTTTGCAGTGTAACACGTCACGTAACTATATACATTTAATAGGGAACACTTGGAAGAGTTTGGTAGCTTCTAGCGGGAGCTACCTTTTGGTGCTACAAAATATACAGAGGAGGCTGCGTTTGTGCTCCCGTTTTTGCTCCGTTTGCATGACAGAGCGCACGGACTAAGACCAGACAGATACGTATTAACTAGTCTAAGGTAAGGTAAGAACATATGTCAGTATGTAAAAACGGTGAACTATTCCTTTAAAGCTGGAGAACCTAATATTGAAACCAGTAAAAAATAATTAAATCCATGTATTAGTTTGACACAATATGAGCTTCACTAGTTTTCACGTGCATGTATTTTTATCCACTGTCACATCTTTAGATCAGCTTTTTGACTGCAGAAGAGTACCAGCCCTCAGCCAATCAGCTCACAGAATGCAATTTAAATTGTTTTAACTTCAGCAGAATAGCAGGATTACTATAGCAACAACGCATCAGTAGGTTAAAACTAACCTGTCTCAAGACGTCTGAACCCAGCTCATGTTCCCTATTAGTGGGTGAACAATCCAACGCTTGGTGAATTCTGCTTCACAATGATAGGAAGAGCCGACACCTCAGTGAGTTGCCACAGGGCAGATGTGGCTACAGTAGTAGTTAATCACTACCGTGTAGCATTATTATTATTATTATTTTCTTGTAAGAGGTAGACCGCATGTTGTGGTCTGATTTGTTCACAAAGTGCATAGTAAACCAGACTCTATATTGGGACAAATGCCATGTATTAAGCAAAAAATAAATCAGAAACTCCAGCTTAAAGACATATTAAATACTATTTAATTTATTAAAATCTAGAGAATCATTAATTTAAGGGCACGGTCACAGATTTTTGCTTGTGAACTGGGCCAAGTGGCCCGGATCGTCGCCACAGGGGTGTGAAAATTGTCCGCGGTCACATAAATGTGTCCTCTGAACCCTGCCAGCACAACTTTGCTGTAGTTCGACGCCCGGTCCAGCTGGCACTAATAATAACTTCAGCGACACCACGTTGGCCGAGTTGAGTATACGCTTCTTTTCCTGTTTACATTCTGCTCCTGTAGCTAACAGGCTATAGCATGCAACGCGTTTTTGCATCAGAGCAATGTGAACAAGTGTGAGATATCTTTCCCCAAAATGCAGCGGTGGGACACAAGTATGTTGTCTGTGTGTGCGGGCGCGCATTTATAAATTATTATAAATGCGCGCCAGTGTAAATTATTAATTTACACGGGAGCGCGCATTTATAGTAACGAGTGTAAAGCTCTAAGAAATGAATGAATGAGAATGAAAGACAGAAAAGTGTGGAGTACGAGCAGAGTGACCAGAGCCGGAGGATATAAGTGTGTTTGTGTGTGAGTGTGTTCTGGCGATTAAATAAAGACTGATTCTTGAATGTCTGAAGTGTTATTGCAATAGCACCACACTGAGAGCGAGGATCAGAACAGAAGAGAGTTATTCCTGTAGGAAACGCTTTTCTTTGGCCCTGCAGCGCAGCCACAAGCTCCCCAGTGTCCCTCGACCATTGTCCGGGGGCTTTTATGAAAGGTTTAACACAAGCGGAGAATTAAAAAATGCGTGTCACAGGAAGACGTAATGTGACGCACAATATCACGTCCCCACCACACCTCATCCCCCATTCCACCCCACCCGCCACACTGATCGAGCCTGAGCACGGTTGCTGCAATCGTACCCAGGCCCACAAGCCGCGGTCACATTGCACCTAAAGCCTAGATCTATTCCCTAAACGGGCCCTGGCCCACTTAAACCGGGCTTTAGGCTGCGCATGTGACCGCAGCCTAAGGCCTGGACTCCACCGGGCGCGTCTCCGTTGACGCGCGTTGGCTGCTGTCCGTCAGACGTCCGTAAAGCCTAGTGTATACTTGCGCGGCGTGGCTTACGTTAGCGGTTGCGGTGGACCTACGTAAGCACAATGGATGTTATACTGGCGCGTTCCCCTTACGGAGTTTTGAGGAGAATGTTGTAATCCCACAACAAACCACATGAGGGCGATCACACAGGAGCGGTCCCATTTACGCTGCTACTTTGTCCTCTTCAGAACAACAATAACAAACAAAGCTGTTTGAGCTCATTACACGTGTTTCTACTGTAGGTTTATGTGATAGTTTTATGGATTCATTATTTTATAAGTCATTTCAACTGTGATGCTGTGAATAAAGACACAGTTCTTGTTGGAAACATAGTTATTATTAAATAGTTTTCAGCACAAACAGCAAAACAATAATAGTGGTAAATATCTGAGACAAACATGAACGATTTACGAGTGCAGGAGGAAAGCAACAAACGCAGCTACGATTCGAACAAGACAGGAACAGTGCAAAACAAACGACTGCACAGTTTGTAAGTTACCTTGCGGTGACCAACGTGTTGCGCAAGTGACGTCACGTCACCTCCGTAAGCTCCGCGCCGCGCGAGTATAAACTAGGCTTAAAACGGACTAGTGGTCAAACCGGCTGCAGCAGCGCGCAACTCTGGCTGTGCGTTTATCAGCCTGCTTTGTTTTTGAAGGAGACACGTTTGGGCATTGTGTGAATGAATGAATGTTTGGCTGATGGAGGAGTTATGTGTTGTCGGCGTGCATGTGTGCGTGAGAGCGCCTGTGTGTGTGTGTGTGTGTGGGAGGGGTGTGCGTGTACACGCATGTGTGTTTGGGTCTGTGACCGCAGCGTTTATTATGATCCAGCCTCTTCGTTTGTTTTCTACTTATTTAGCGCGTCATACACTTTTATCGGACCCAACTCGCCTCTCCGTGGCTTTAGGCAACAGGCAGCCGCTATAGTTTTAAATAGAAGAAGTGGTGTGTGATGTGCATGAGCTGTGGCTATGATCAGTGCAAAGCACAGCATATTGAAGCATTGAGGACGTCGCGGATGAGGCAAAACTTTATTGAAAGCAATTGGAAAAATGGGACAGAGAAAGGAGAAAAGAACTCCAACATATCCAGTGTTGGATCACATGTGCAGCTCTGTGTGTAATGTGTGTGTGAGTGTGAGTGTGAGTGTGAGTGTGAGTGTGTGAGTGTGAGTGTGAGTGTGAGTGTGCACTTGTTTTCAACTCCTAGTGGGTTCCATAACCTGAGATTCCACTCACGTCATGGGGACTGGTTTTACGTGGTGGGGCCCGAACACCGGACCCCACTGGTCCAAGCTTAATAATCAATGGGTAATGCTTTTCTAACAGTCCTTATGCAGTCTCTGTAAAAATATGGAAAGGACCCCTGGAGGTTTACTTTCCTGAAAAAAGTGTGTTATGTG